CACACAGCGCTTAGAACTTCGTGTTACCCCCCTGTTCCCTGCCCCCATCGATAAGATTGTCGTGTGAGTGAACTCTCCAAAGTTTCCCTTGTTCGCCCGCCGCCCCCACCCCCCGCCCCACCGTTCCCGCACTGTAAAAGCTTGCCGCACAGAAGTGTAATAGGCCTGGCAATTACTAGTAAAAATCGTGCGCTTGCTTCGGACAGTTTTCTACTTTGAAAGCAATATAAGTGAATTGTAAAGTAGGTCGGTCACAACAAAGCCATGTTGCTATGACGTCAGGGCGACGATAAGAATGTAAGGAATTCACGTCATCTAAGGGAATTGTCAAGAAGCCTATAGTGAACTCGGTATGTGAAAACTAGTAAGCCTCCGGTCGTTGTGCTTCTTGGTGGTTCCTAAATACTGTCGAATAACTGAACGCAAACTCTGAACTTGTAATTTTTTGTGCTGTATCGGGATTTCCAACATAGCATTTTAGAAAGTTGTCATATTGAGAAGAAGCACATCCGATCACTGGGACAAGAACTTTATTCGCCTGAAGTTAGGTTTCCGTCGCTGATCTATCACCAGATACAGGAACAGAAACGGGCAATTCATATACAGGGAGTTTCAGTATTAAGAGGATACAATCGCTATGCTACTGTGCACTTATGACAATTAACGACTCCCCTATCGCGGATAATTGTTCGCTTATCCGCTAATTGCTTGATGGCTGGCATGCGGGTCGTGGCCTGCCGAGCTTGCATCATCCATGCTGGAGTTGGGCACGATAATTTCTCGGTCATCTCGCTCCCTGGCGCTAGCTTTAGAAGACGCGTTCGCCTGTGCGCTCCCGACTGGCCAATTATTTTGGCCAAACTGCGCCTCAGCACCGAATATGGGTTGTGCAGGTCATTGCACTTGTTTATAGACTGGGGTTCCGTAAACCATGACTGAAGCCCCTCGCAGCTCACACGATTGTCACCTCTCGCAAGGATTTTGACCTCATCGAATTTGAATATGGGGCCGGGACTTGTCGAATTGAACATTTGCGTCATTTCTCTACGCTGCTGCCGCGTGTTTGAAAATCCGCATCTGCTCAATTGCGTGCTAAGACACGTATTTTCTCTTTTATCGGAAACTTCCATATAGTCTAACCTGAGATACGTTCTTAGTTGGTGCCTTAATCATTACCATACGATGTTCGACAATATGACAGGTTTTTTGGAAAACCTTACACTGGGCTACCTAACAAGGCTGTTTCGTTTCTTTGATCCACAAGTACGTACGCACTCTTTGAATGTCGCAGCTTCGGCTCGTGAGCAAACCTGTGGGTATTTGCCGAAAGCCATATAGTTGATGTATATTTCACGTGACTTCTTGGTCGGCGCACGAAAACATGAACATTTTATTTCTGTTGAGTCCCCTTGTTACTTTCAAACTGTTTTCTGCGTCTGATAGTGGAGTTATTGTGCAGTCCGAGATGGTAGAATGAAGGAAGAAGGTTCATGGCTTCCTGTATGCATTTAGCAGTAGTCAGCAGTACTAACTATTATGACCTTACCCTAAGGACAAGGGAGACTTGTAGGGCTATGTCTGATTCATGAACTGTCATTATTCAGCCATATCTAAGCCTAGCTTTACAACTCCTGAACCACGAACCCACGTTCTATTGGGTAGACTTCCAACGCCCTAACCCTTGGCTTCATTGTACCGTCAGTGACGATTGCGTTCATCGTTATCGCAGTTCTCGTCATTTAATGACCTTCATACAAAACTCTCTGCATATTTCAAACAAGGCTGTGACTTTGATGGTACTCAAGCTCATATCCCGATCAAACTTCATGTTCATAATGTTGGGAAAGTCTGCTGTAATTGATCGCCAATTACGCGCAAAGCCTATACCTACGAAATATCTGGTAAGTACGACAAGGAATGTGAACTGTGATAAACCCTACTGGCAAAGAATTGAAAAGGTATATCTTATCTTTCGTTTTTTTATTCGAACGACAGCCTTTCCATTGAATCTCAAGGGTAATGGCTTGACTGCCTCTGTGGTCGGACACTGAGAATATTGGGGCTGAGGTAAAAACAACTATATTTGTTCTCAATAATGACGACTGCTACGCAGGACCGCTTGCTTCCAAACATTTCTTTATAGGATATCCTTCCAGGTCTACTATTATTTCTCATTCCTTGTTAACTTCTCTTAAAGCACCGTGCTGAGTCCTCGAGACACCACACTGCAAACAGACCACCGGACTCTCCGGTACGTTCTCGAAACCACAATTCTGTGCCCTCTGAGGGCTTCGATGGCCACCTTAACAGCAAAAGGCCCAAAAATAAACCCTCTTTGGAAGATCATCAACTACCAAAGAACTTACATGAGGAAGATCGTAGACGGTCTTGTGACTCTCCGCCGGTGACCACCCGATCAGAAAGCCAGCACCAACGCCATTCTGGTAATTACCAGAAAGCCCCTAAAGGTACGTTGTGAAAATCGGATTATTTGTACGTCCTCAGCTGCCCCTAACGTAACTTTCTTGGCCCGATTTTGAAAAGCATTCGAGAAATTAGGAAACCCACCCATGTGAAAAACAGTATCTATACGAGTCGATAGGGAGCAGCCGGTCTATTTTGCCTTATGTGTAGAGCTTTCCTGTGAGGTCGCCTAAGGGCAAAAGTCCTCCCCCCTCAATTTCTTTACGGAAATCGTGGTTAAAGGCCTAGTTACTAAATGCACAGCAGGAAATAAACTTAAGCCGCTTATAGTGGTTTTACTGAATTAAAAATACATCTGAAAAGCATGCGGGAAAAATAAAATCGACCGACATGAACTTGTACTAGTCAGCAAAGGATGCCTACAGCTC